GGAAGGGTTCAAGGCCAGGTTGGACGGGGCTTTGGGCAACCTGGGCTAGTGGAAGGTGGCCCTGCCCGGGGCAGGGGGTGGCACTGGATGGGCTTTAAGATCCCTCCCACCCCAGCCCAGTCTGGGATTCGATGACTCCCCGAGGAAGCAGCTCTGCCAGCACACCCGGGGCTGGGGAACAGCGCCCTGTCCCGGTGTGGGGCCACACCCCACCCACAGCACCCCTGCACCCCACCCAGCCTCAGCCCTCCGCCACCGGGCTGCCGCAGGTGGGCTCTCACCACTTTTCCGGGCCCGTTGGCCCAGATGCTGCCACCCCCCACCCCACCCACCATTCTCCAGGAGGTGGGAGCCCGGGCCAGGCCCGGTGGGAGCGGAGGAGGGAGCTCAGCACCGTTGGCTTTCTCTCATCATCCCCCAGCAAGATCCTCAGGACATTTGCACAACTCCTCACCTCCCGTTCTGCCTCCTCGTGGTATCGGGCTGTTTCCAGGAGCTCCTGGAGATGCTTTTGCACGAGGTCTTTGCTGGCACATGCCCCAAGCGTCGTCCCAATGCATTTATACAGGAAATTCTGGAAGAGCGAGAGGAACGTCAGCGCCCCGCGGAACCCGGCGAGCCCTCGCGGGCAGCCTGGGCTCCAGCCCGCACCCACCGCTCCTGGCAATGCTGAGGGTGTGTGGCCCAGAGCCCAGGGGTAGGCCAGGGTCTGCTGCGAGCACCGGGGTGCTCCGGGACACAATTCCCATCGCAGAGCCGCCGGCATCCATCAGAGCCAGGAACAGGCACAACAAAACCCCTTGTTCCTGCCCAGAAACAAAGTCACCGCGACAGAGGGAGCACGAGGGCAGATTTTCCAGCAATGCCCCAACACCCCCGGTGACCAGCCAAGCCAGGCTCAGCTCCGACTTGTAGAATGTTAAATATAACCTCTGGAATATTGGAAATCAGAGTTTAAGGCCTAGTGAAACGTGCTCAGGGCTTCGCTAGCCCGGGAGATTCCCAAGGCAACCGCAACGCTGCTCAACAGGCCTGAGAAGCGTTCTTAGCCTGCTGCTTGTATAGTCCCAGCCCAAGGCCGGTTTAAAACCCCGGCAAGCTGATCCTACAGAGACAGTTTGAACAAAGGATGGTTCCTTGACCAAACACAGGGGTTCTGCTTCTTTAAGGGAATTTAGTACCTAGAAATCGCTCGCTCTACCTAAGCTTTTCATAGAACATCTTGAAGTCTTTCTCAGAATTGGGCGAGATGAAAACTAGTGGAAGGAAGATGAAGATGATGAGGACCCGAAAGATGACCCTGAGACTGAAGCAGGGATTGGAACCAGAACAGAATTGGGCTGAGACGGGGGATTGTAGTGAACTGTAATAAATGAAGGGAATCAGGAACTAAAAGGTTGAGCGGAACCTTACAAAGACTTTGGACTTAGGTAACAGGTTTAGAAATAGTGTAGAAACTGTGCGAGGCCTTTGGGCATTGGCCACTCACTGCGGTGCCGGCCCAACCCTGAGCAGTTAATAAAGCAAACCCAGAGATACCCCAGCCTGGTGAAATTCTTTACCAGAACACTCCCACACCCCTGCAGAAACACCAAATCCTTCAGCAATGAGTTGGGTCTGACCAGCACAGGCTGAGCAACGCACACTGGCCGGGACTCTCCGAGCCCACAATTTGGCTGTGGACTAAGCAGTTTTATTTTTGAGCCTGCCCAGCCACCTTGCTACCCTCCCGCTATTTCTTCTCCCCCCCTAACAGCCCTGTCCCAGCACCAAGCCTCCGGCAGAACGACGCTCTCAGGAAGCACCTGCCCCTGCAAAGTCACCGTGGCAGGACGGGCCCTGCCAGCCCGTTGTGTCCCCCCCGCCACGCTCACCTTCTCCAGCACGAAGCCGTTGTAGCTGTTCAGCTGCCTGCACATCTCCGTCACAAAATGGCAAATCCACGTGTTGTCAGAAACAGCCGCCAGTGTCTCCTGGAGGAACTGGAGGAGGAAGAAGCCGTCAGGTACCACGTCCTAACGAAGCTGGGCCTGGCAAAGCCAGAACCTGAGCCGGGTGGGCCAGTGCAATAAATCAAATGCAGGGGGCTTAGGTCAGACCTACCCCTGAGCCTCGCCTGCCCCGAGCTCACCATGGGATGCTGCCTGCCCCAGCATGGGTCCTGCCAGCACCACCCCCTGCCAAAAATGGGCCTTTTTCCTCAGAATTGGGTCTCTTCTGAGCTAAACTGCACACAAGTAACACCGCCAACATCAGAGGAGCAGGATGAGCCCTGCCCAGTTTTAATTGCTTCTCCGTGCCCTATTTCAAGGCTCCCAATTAAGCGGGGAGACACTCCTGGGACCGCTGGTTCCTGACCCATCAGCCTGAAAGCTCCTTCCTAGCGTGCCCCGCAGGGACCCTCCGTGATGACCTGTGTCTCCAAGCGACCAGACCCGGCAGCGTGACAGCGAGGGACCCTCTCTGCCACCACAGGCAGGCAGGCAAAGGCAAATCCCAGCCTCTGCAGACCCAGCCCGGGCTGCACGTGGAGCCCTGTTGAGCCCAGCCCAGGTGGGCTCCGGAGCTGGTTGCCACTTGCCCTCCCACCGCCCCATCGCTTCCCCAGCACGAGGGGCCTTACCAGCAGTAGCTCCTCCTCCCACTCCTTCTGGCACAGGGAACTCTCCGTGTTCTCTAGGAGAAAGCACATTTTTTACACCGGTTTCTCATGCTCACCGTACGTCCCACAGCAGGGGCTGAGCGCTCCCCCAACACTGTGTGTCCAGGACTAGACACAGCGGGGCTACCCACCTGAGAGACAGGGGCAATTAGCAACACCAGGGTGATTAAAGTCCTCATTAAAATATTAAACAGCACTTCTTCAATGTACCAAGGGTCAGCAGGCTGGTGGGCAGCACCCCACCCTACTCCCAGACACCCCAGAGCATCGGGGCACACGCAGCCCGGTTTGGAGGAGCAGAGAGCTCCCCCCGAGCAGAAGATCCTTCCTACCTTCCACGTGTTCCACCAGGAGAGGGACCTTCTTGTTCCAAAGCAGGTCCAGCGCGGGGTGGATGCTGTAATGCAGCACACCCAGCAGCCGCAGGGCAGCCGCCCCCCTGCACTCTCCTGCGTACGGCTGTGAAGATACAACCTGGAAGGTTGGGGATGGAACAGAAAGTGTCAGTGCAGAGAAAGGGACTAAGTGAGTCAGAATCCCAGAACCATCTCAGCTGGAAAAGCCCTTGAACTCCTCCAGCCCCACCATGACCCTCACCCTGACTGTTCCCAACTCTCCCAGACCCCTCAGTGCTGGCTCAGCCCGACTCTTCAACCCCTCCAGGGATCCCGGGGACTCCCCCCTGCCCTGGGCAGCCCATTCCAATGGCCAACAGCCCCTTCTGCACAGAAATCCTTCCTCAGAGCCAGCCTGACCCTGCCCTGGGCAGCTTGAGGCCATTCCCTCGGGGCCTGGCGCTGGGGCCTTGGCTCCAGAGACTCATCCCCCCTCTCTGCCCCCTCCTGGCAGGGAGTTGCCGAGGGCCAGGAGGTCTCCCCTCAGCCTCCTCTTCTCCAGACTGAACCCCCCCAGTTCCCCCAGCCGCTCCCCAGCAGACCTGTGCTCCAGACCCTGCCCCA